CGATCTTTTCCGAGACAGGTAGTGTTTGGAAAAAAGCTAAGGGTGGTCAACCTAAGACCTAGCACGAGGGTATGAAAACCTTGGGATGATCGTACCGGATGGTTCGAGACACTGAGTGATATGGCTGAGTGTCGTAAACAGTGGCGTTCGTGAATCTCATCAATTTCTCTGTAGCCTGAGATCACTGAAATTCTCCATTTTCTGTTTGACTCTACTTTCAACCTTCCTGTTTTTGTCCTATTCTTCATCCAAGTGGGGAGCCAAAAGACAGCAACCAAAACCCGCGCACGAAGATGCATGGTTAATGGCTGCTGCAAAAAACTGAACTGAAACGAATCAGTAGAAAGAGTTTGACTGCAGTGGTCGGATACGAAAACACTACTACCCCCGGGACGATAAGTTGCCAAACGTTGCCGCTGGTCACCGTCGACTATCGTAAACACATGTACTAAATCAATTTCTAACTGAATATCGTTCATTGTTGTTGTTTTTCGCATTTTCTCTGAGGGTTTTCTCAGCAAATTCTATCTGCCGCTTCCCAATTTAGTCGCCCTAATAGGAGGTCGAAAGATAGTAACCAAAATCGTGACATAACAGTGAAAAGTTGTGGGTTGTACAAAGTCAAAACTGTAAGTGCTAAAATGAGGGGTTCGTCGAAACCGATCGGCCTACTCTTTTGACAAATAATGGATAGTCTACTATAACATGACTAATCAGTGAACACATTCCGACGAAACTAGCTTCAAATGAAGTGGTACTCCGGTTATAACCGCGAAGCAACTTGTGATAAGCATCCCTCTCACCAACTCCCTACCATACTATTGCACGACCTCCTGCTTCGAGTCCTGGAACTCCGGGAGCCAAACAATTCGCCGGTGGAATATGGGTTTTACAAGGCCGGGTGATAGTGATATTGTCTACCACGCGGGGCAAGAACTTCGAAATGTCCATGTTTGCTCCCAAGCGTCCCTGATAGCCTCTGCTGAGGAAGCCCTACTCAATACATTCGCGCGGTGGTGTTTTCTCACCAAACTGGAAGGTCGAAAAGCCTATTTCCGGAGCTATAACCGGGTTGGTGGACCACCGTTAGTTCACTTAGGGAAGTTGGACAAAAACCCTAATTTCAAACCAACAAAAAGGAGGCGTATGAACCACACCCACACCTTCCCGGTTACGGCAGTAGTCACCGGCTCGA